AATTTGAATTATAAATACAAACTTAAATCTTAAAATTAATTTGAATTTTTTGTCATGATCAATCATCATGAAATGCCTTTAGGGTTTATATTTACAGGATACATACATTAAACTTTCTAGGTCCAGGTATCTTAAAAAGGGGTTGTACCAATAAAGTTCAAGTATAATTTTATCACAACTAGACACAGAACATGGTTATATTATAGTGTTTTTCTTCCAACGTTACTCCTAAGATTTACTCATTTAAAAAAGCTGTCCAGAGTTCCTTTCATACTTAAACTGGTAACTGAAGACTTACATTTCCAAAGCCTCGGGTGAGCTTTGATTAGCTAGAATTGAATCAGAAAGAGCAAGACCTAAAGACATGATTAAAAACAGGGAACAAATTTTCCAAGTGGAACGTGGAATGTATAACATTCTGCTTCTACAGAGGTGTTTCCATTGCCCCTGCATCTCCTCTGAATTACATCCCTGTCTCTTAAAGCCAAGCTCAGAAGCCAAAGCTGAGAATCTTATGACTTAACCTCTCCTCATCTTGATGACTCCTGTCTCTTTATCGTAGCATTCAGTTTCACTTTGCCATTTTGTAGTTGACAGATTGCTCCATAAAATGTTCTTGTTATTTCATTGTATGTTGTCTCACCAAACAGCTTGCACAAGCATGACTTTGGGGATCAGGTTCTATATCGTATTTCTTTGGTAAACCCCTCAGATACCCTGTGGAGTGCTTATGACCTCTCATTTCATACATCCAAGATAAGATATATAATGGGGCGGGGTAATGCCTTAATTCTCAGAGAGTAAGAGTCGATGGACATTATTAGATTTTAACTCCTTTACTGGAAGGCTGGGTGGATAATTTTAAGTAAATGGCCCTGATTATAATGGCTAGAGAAGGGAACCTGACTTCTTAGGTCTACTGAAGGAGGGCCCCTTTGCTTGAAAAACTCCTTTTAATGAAAGAAAAAGATGAATGATATAATTAAGTTGACTTGTAATTAAACTCTGTAGCCTATACACTGTTCGGTTGGGTACCTATCAAACTATTTATTTGCCAAAGTGGAGGTAGAAATAGTCTTTCATGCAAGGTTGGTTGTTTGCAAAGGCAGGGTTGATGATAAAGCCAGGAAATAGGACATTCATACTGGTCTAACTTCTAGATTGGCCCCCAACTGCAGGAATCAAGAAAAAGAATTTTGATACAACAAAGGACTTAATATGCTTGTAATTACTTAGATGTGCCTAGATCTAGTTGTTGGAAAAGCATGTATCAATAATAGAGCATGTGACTGCTTTTTTGATTATTCTGTGAAGAATCAGCTCTTTAGAGACATAAAAACCACCTTAGTACAGAGCCCCATGCACTCCTCCTAAAATAAACAAAAATTTTATTTCAAGAACTCTTTATTTGAAACAGAAGCCAGTCTTTAGGGTTGAAAACTTTAGGAACAAATAAGACTGTGTTTTTGTCTTTTATAAATGGCTAAAGCCAGCAAACACTTGGAAAGTGTGTATAGAACACTGGCTGATGCTAGGCGTACTCCCCTAAGAGTATGGTTCTCACTAGGGAAGTGGAAAGACTTGTTTGCCAGATGTTAGGAACTGAATATAGGCCTGTTCAACATGGCAGCTTAAAACTGTGTTTAGGGTTCTTACTGATGGAATGTACCCAGTGAGACAGTACAGAACAAAGGAAAAACACAATTTGTATGCATAGAAATAAAATAAAGGTTGGGAATACACCTTCAGATCTCTAGATCTTGCCCAATTAGATTGATTCCACTTGCTTGTTTATTTTCAAGTTCTTTATTTGGAACTGGCCAGCACTTTCCCAATTCTATCGGTAGTTGTAATTTTAGCAGCCTCTAGTGTGTTCCAGAGCGGTGCCTTTCAAAGTCTTTTGACTGCAATCCACAGTAAGAAATACATTTTGTACAACCATTTAATATATGATATGCATGCCTAATGATTTCCACTTAAAAAATACTGGTTATGACTCATTGGTTTCATATCCCATTAATAGGTCAATAATTGCAGTATAAAAAAATGGCCTAAGATTCTGGTATTGTTGCATATATCACTAATATTTTAATTTCTTCATAGTGTTTCCTCCTTCTCCTCTAGATCTAGGAGCTCAGGATGCTATTTCTTAATTTGTTGGAGCCATTACAATTTCAACTTCTGCTTTAAAACCTGGAGCACATAAAATGTTCCTCAAGCCTGCCATGGGTCTCATTTTCCTAGTACTTAAAGGTGTTTACTTTCTGTCTGGCATCCTCAACTTCTCTCTTCTAAGGCTCAGATCTTTCAGTATAAAGGATGAAGAGGAAACATTTGGGAAAAAAATGTTTTGAAATGATAATAACCCAGCTTCTGCTTATGGGAAATAATTGAAGCAGAACTTATATTCTTTTTGAAAACATAGCTGGCTGAGTTGCTGCAATGTAAAGGCTATAGACTTATTAACTTCCTAAAACGGAATGAGAAGTACAAACATGCTTTCAAGTGTGTTTAAGAAAATACAGAAATTTCTTAAATCAGATTGTATTTATTAAAAACAGAATACAAAATACCCTCGAATTCAAAGATCGCCTCTTACAATGTTTATCCCCTAACAGATGAGTTGTAAAGAAAAAAGTTAATCATTTGAAGGGAGGTAATCAAAGTTTTAAGAATTACACATCTGGGGGTGCCTGGCTGGCTCAGTCAGTAGAGCATCTGGGACTCTTGATCCCAGGGTTGTGAGTTCAAGCCCCACATTAGGTGTGCGGCCTACTTTAAAAAAAAAAGAAAAAACTGTACATCTTGTTGCAGACCGAGTTTATTCAAGCTCTGAGAGCTCAATATGTTCTTCCAAGTTTTCAACCGTTAGTAGCCCAAACCGATTGCTTCCCTCGTACCAGCATTTAGTGTCTGAGGTGGTTCCCACTCTGTTCTTTGACCAGCTGGTACCTTGTTTCTTTTGCCTTTTTTTTTTTGAATTTGATTTACCCTTTGGTAGGAATAATTCGGCAGAGGCATATGACCTTGTGGCATTGAACAGATGTTCATAAAGTTGCTTCGCCTCAGGGCACATGCTCAGGAGACTTTCTACAGAAGTCGATGTTAGCAGTTGTCGGCACAGTCCGTGTACCAGGCTTCCACTGTACAGTCTGTCTCAAGGGAGAGGAAAAGAGTGTTGTTAAAGCATACGTTCAGTGGAGAACTTTGCTCATTAACATGGCTTTAACAAGTGCAGCTAAACACTTAGCTCTTCAATACAATTAGTACTAAAATTACTTAAAAACCTGTTCCTTGAAGGAAGGAACTGAGTTGTTAGTACAAATTTGGCTGGTGATATTTAAAAACTCTTTGTCAACAAATGAGATAGATGCCTGCTGGTTCTGCAACCAGCTGAAAGTTGAGCAGGCCTCTTACCACTTCAAAGAAAAGGAATTAAAAATGTCTGATAAACCAAATGGGCAGTCTGCTGAAATATGAGAAAATTTAGTGGCATCGTTTGCAAGCTCACTGATTCACCTGCACTGAGAATCTACTGCAGGAATGTAAGATGTGGTTACAAATGTAATACATAACTTACTGCCAGAGTTGATCCACTGGTGCCTTAGCAACTAATGCAGAACCATCATTTAATCAGTGTAAGACCATCATTTAAAAAGCTTTAGTAAAGCTGAGATGCAAAAACAGTCCTGCTGAAATCATTATGAAGAGAACGGTTTGGTCTTGTTTTTTCCCCTGTTTTGTCATAAAGGGACTTGTGGTAGCTAGAGAGGATCCAGTCTAGAATGACCTCAATTATTTAATGAAAGGCACAAAAAAGACAAATAAAAATAAATAAATAAAATGGAAAGGCATAAAGAATCCATAGGTCAAAGGCTAGTTAATCTTATTGGGTGGAAGGTTCTAGGGTTGACTCAGATTATCAGGTCCAGAGATGTATTAACACTATTTACTGCTAGGAAGCTTTATACCTTAAAACACTTAAAAGTCACACCAGCAGATTTTATATGCCTCCAAACATACATCATTCATTTATTTGACAAATATTTGAGTTTTTCCTAAATGCTAGGCACTGGGGCTACAAAAGTAAATAGCTAAGTGCCTTCCTCACAGAGCTTCCATTCAAGTGGAGAGAGACAAAGTGTGTCTCCAATCTCCACTCCATTTGCTAACAATCTCCCCTTTATTCTTCCTCTCTCCCTCCCTCTGGGATCTCCTGGATGTCCAATCCACTGAACGTAGTACCCACACCCTACTGCTATCCTTTCTTTCTTACCAGCTTAAACTCCATACTCAAACATGATAATCCCTTCCTGGCATACAGGCTGCCTCTCCTTTCTTCATACTCACCTGGCAAAGCAAAAACCCTAAATAAAGTCCACTTAAGTGTCTAGGAGTCATCTTATTAGAATAAAAGCTCCATGACAGCAGAGATTAAAAAGAAATATTTTGTTCACTACACCCTACCACAGAGTAGGCATTTAATAAATATTTGAACAAGTGTATGAACAGTATGCCACGTGTTAAGAAATGCAATTACAAAAATCCAAAAGAGTAATAGGACTACAGTGACTGGAAGTAGAGAGTAATATTCCAGGAGGATAATCAGAAAGAGGCTTTATAAAGTGATACTTGATCAAAGGCCTGAGAGAAATGAAGGAAAGAGTTCTATCCTACCAACAACTGCCTCTTTTTTTACTTTAAGGGACGGGCTTTTTAATCTTTGATCTAATCATGGCAATTTTCTTTGGGAATATGGACAAAAATTTATATGTTTCCAGCTCTTCAGCTCTAATAGCGATCCAAGACCAATTATACTAAGATTAATTTTTAGAAGTTTATTTGCTTTAAGTATAAATAAAAGTATTTACTTCTGTGTGCAGCCATCTGAACTAGTTTCCCGTGGTGCTTACCGAGTTAGGTCTGGTTCCGGGAGAGGAGCGGACAGCAGCTGATTGAGATACATCCCCATCTGCAGACAGCACTGCCACTGACAGAAGATGTGAGCTGTGTCTAAGTCCAGTCTCGTGCCCGGCCGTGTCTGCTCCTTCACTCTCTGGAACTCTTCATACAACATCCTAGCACCATCCTCCCGCAGATCTTCCTTATCTAGACAAAGAAACAACCCGAGGGCAGTATTTCCAAAAACACTGTATAGCTTGTAATTTTCTCTCTCTATAAAACTTTGAATTCCATAAAGAAAAAAATTACTTTAAATAACCAAAATGCTTTTCTCTTCTGGCTCTTTACTATTTTAACGTCAATGTAAAAGCCTTGCTGTATACATTGAAATATTTATACTGAAATGCCTTTTTAATGACAACCTAACTTCATTCAACCCTAAATTATTTATTTTTTTCCTTAAAATAGTATCTCTGACTTAAAATACATCTGCTTCTGAACTCTCCAAACCCAAAATCTGTCTCTCTGAAAAATACAAATTACTATTAAATAGCCTTCTCTTCACTGTTCTCGTTCACTAAGTTTCCTTCCATGGAGACCCGCCCCTTGCTATAGTGCACTTACACAGCCTGTGTTCAAAGCACACTTTAACCTCTGCTTTATGGGAGGAAAACAAAAGCATGACTGACTCGAGACTATGGCAAATCATCTACTTCACGTAGCGGAGGTTAAGAGGCAAGAAGCAACAAGCCTAGGCAATGAGGAGTGCTGTTTGCGTTCAGCTGTAAGCTCCTGCAGGTTTGAGTAGGGGCGTGCAAAATGATGTTGGACCAACTTGAAAGTAATAAAAAGGAGGCCCACCTTTTACGCATTAGCGAGCAGCAAGGCACTGAGCCTGCCTGGGTGCAGGGTCCACAATTCCTAAAAGAAAAGAAACAGACCCTTGACGTGCCCCTTCTGTTGGACTCAGGTAAAAAATTAATAGGCTTGTGCTCGGAGAATGTTCTTAAACTACAGTATTATTCAATAGGTGGAAATACCCTAAAGTTGTGTTTTCACTAGTAGTGGGCGTTAACTCATTCAGTTGGCTCTTATAAGAAGAGTCGCTTCTGACAACTGTTCTCACACTTGGGGTGTCCTGGAGTCTGTACCAGTTCACTCTTTCCTTTAATGTGTTTTAAAAAGTAAACTCCAGTGTAGCACTGTCCAACAGAACTCTCAGCAATGACGGAAGTGTTTTGTGTCTCTGCTGTCCAATTCAGTAGCCTCTAGCCATATGTGGCTACTGAGCACTTCAAATGTGGCCAAGAAGCTGAAGTTTTCATTTAAAGAGCCACACATGGCTAATGGCCATTAGATTAGATATCAGACAGCATAGATTAGATATCAGACAGCACTGTTCTGGGTGTGGTGATTGTTATATGTGTTTAGATAAGGAGTTACAGCATTCATAATCTTTTAAAGGGAATAATTCTATTAAAGAATTGAAGTGCTCCAAGACATCAGCATTTATTTCACCTGATACTTACATGCAGCTGAAACTACCTTAAAGGGTATTTCTCTAACAGAAAAAAAAGTTACTATTTCTGTCGTCACTAACACACTAATTGAAACTTACAGTGGAGAAAAAGTAAAACAATGGCACAAGCACGAATATTTACTATGGCTGTAGGAATTCAGAAGCTTCACCGATGGACAATTTTACATAAATTTCTAGTGATGATCTTGCCACTGTATTGATGCTCGGGAATAGGGATAGGGTACATGGAGTCCAGAATGTAACTGTCTTGCCACTGTATTGATGCTCGGGAATAGGGATAGGGTACATGGAGTCCAGAATGTAACTGGCACGTTACACATGCACACTTCGCGTGGGATGAGGCAGTAGCAGCATACCTTCACTGCTGTGCCCTTGGAGTCAAGCACTCCAGCACTGAGCCTGGCACACAGAAGTGCTCAAAAACATCTGCCAGTGAATGAATGATATTTTGGTGGCTCCACCCCTAAGTTCTGAATACAACCGATGGGAGTAAACAACGAAGAATATTTTTGTTTGTTTCTTTAAACTTGCAATTATATGCAAGCAATGTGCAAAACTTTCCTCCTGGAATTTCCAGATACCTACCAGGGCTGTTGATTATGACATGCAAGGGCCCCATCAGCATCCCTAGCAGTAAGGCCTGCAGGTGATGTAGCTTTGCCTTGGCCTCTGTGTGCTGCAACCAGTAGCAACTGACTGAAACAAGCAACTTCAATGAAGAAGGGATTGGCTCCAGGATGGTCTGTTTCACCTTCAGGGTTTCTAACAGAAGTATCTGCCTTTTGGCCAAGGAGAGCTGAAAATACATACCGAACATCCCGCAAGTTACTTTGGGGAATGTCTCCCCCCCGCCCCGCCCCACCCCAAGTATAAAGAGACTTTAGTGCAGATGAATTGCTCTGTCAGTTTCTTACCTTCCTGTGGAAAGAAAGAAATTAGCCACACTCAAAGCATTTAAAACACTGGGTGCTTAATAAATACGGTTGAATGGATATATTGTGTACTCCCACTACACGGCCCTTGCTCATGTCACTCCACCCTCCATGTAGGCTGGTGAACATCTTCAGTGCATGTCACTTGGGAAGCTTAAAAATTTCAGTCCTCAGGTCCCACACCCTGAATTTTGATTCAGTAAATGTGAGAGCAACCAAGGAATCTGCATTTGAACTATTCTGCGTTGAGAGACAAAGATCTATACTCAACCCTATTCTTAACTGCCAGTGACTACGGAGGCCCTACCTTCTTCACGATGCCATTTCTGATCACCTCTGGAAGGCAAACTTAGATTATATGCACCCTCTGTGGCATATCATACAGCCTTCTATTTGTTTGGGTCTTGTCTCATGTCCCTACCCAGTTGAATGTTTTATTTTGTCTTTTTGTTTTTCTACACAGGGATTGTTCCAGGGTGGCTGCTTGTAGGTGAGAGGTATATTCAAGGGAGATGGGAATATTTAAGGACTACCTGCATTGTGCTTGCACTAACACACCCCATTCACTTCTCCATGCGTTAGAGTACACTTCAAATAAAAGGGAGTTAACAGCTATGAGGGGTTTGGGCTTCTTGAAATAACTTTACCTTAATGAATCTTAAGAACCATAAGGACCTTCTAGGTCACACACTTAAATAAATAAGGAAATTTGTACTATTAACAGGGCACCTTCAGGAGGACTTTACCACCAAACTTTAAGAAAGAAAAAACGGGGCGCCTGGGTGGCTCAGTTGTTGAGCGTCCAACTTCAACTCAGGTCATGATCTCGTGGTTCATGAGTTCAAGCCCCACGTCCAGCTCTGTGCTGACAGCTCAGAGCCTGGAACCTGCGTTAGAGTCTGTGTCTCCCTCTTTCTCCACCCCTCCTCTGCTCATGCTGTCTCTCTCTGTCTCAAAAATGAATAAACACTAAAAAATTAAAAAAAAAGAAAAAAGAAAGAAAAAAAACTGGTGTTCCTAGTGTCTGCATGCAGCCAGAAAAGGATTTCTTTCTTAACTTTATGTAAGGATGAGACACATTTCTCAGTACCTAAAACCTAGTTTGTAGTCAAATCAGTGTGTTGACAGCTGGGAATGGACATGGCAACCTGAAATAAAACATCATAATTGATAAAATAGTTTCACCATCGATGCATGAAAGCATTAAATATAATTTATAAAACTCATTTTAAACTTTTGATACTGTGATAAAACTTTTTTTTTTTTTTGAGAGCGTGAGTGTGGGGGGGGCGGGTAGGCAGAGACAGTGAGGGGGAGACAGAATCTTGAGGCTCCATGCTGTTGGCACAGAGCCCAACATGGGGCTCCAACCCACAAAGCCTTGTGATCATGATCTGAGCGGACTCAGAGGTGGACGTTTAACTGACTGAACCACAGTATCACCCCGATACTGTGATAAACTTTTTAAAATTAGAAATATGCAAGATGCTTTACAGTCTAAGCCATCACTCTTACGGGAAATAGCAAGTACTTAAAACAAAAACTTTATGATCTCAACTGGTAGGAAAATACACCAAGTAAAGCTAAAAAAATACATGAATTCTTTTCTGACATATAATGCTTAAATTATTGAATTGTCTACAATTCAATTACAAATTACAATTTTTATGAACAAAGTAGGGTTTGGGCTTTGACTTTAGAAATGTTCTGTTTCTCATTAACTGTACAGCATTGGGCAAGTTTCTGAGCTTTTCTATCATCAATCTGATTATCTGTAAATGGGCATTACAGTGAATTACACAAGATGTTTCATGGAACCCACCAGTTCTTAGCCCCTTCCAAAAGAGGAATGACTCTGCTCACAGCCCTGAAATTTGGTTAGGTTTTAGCCCAGTGACAACTTCCCCTTACCCCAGAGGGGAAGGAAAGCACAAGCCGGTAGAAGAAGATCCCACAGAGAAGCAGAGACACCCAGAGAGAGGCTGGTCGTGGCGCTTACTCCCAAAGAAAGACCCACTTGCATCTCTCCTTATAATTAGCCTCTCATTGGTTACCTTGAATGGATCTCTATCCACTGCAGCTAATAACCAAATGAAAACCCTATCCTATGTGGTTACTGTGAGAAATAAGTATAAAGTTGCTATTACAACCGTTGGCACAAAGCAGATAAAGTATTATTACTGCCTCATGTTAAGAAAAACAAAACGACTAGAGAACTATCACAAGATTTCTCTTATACCTGCATTTGTCTTTGGAATCACATTTGCACTTGATACCATTTTGAATTATCCTGGGCTATAGGCGCCTGGGTGGCTCAGTCGTTTTAGTGTCTGTTGATTTCGGCTCAGGTTGTGATCTCATGGTTCGTGCTTTAAGCTCCACGTTGGGGTCCAGGCTGACGGCATGGAGCCTGCTTCGGATTCTCTCCCTCTTTCTCTCTCTCTCTCTCTGCCCCTCCCCCACTCATATCCTCTCTCTCTCTCTCTCTCTCTCTCTCTCTCTAAGAAACTTAAAAAAAAAAAAGAATTGGGGTGCCTGAGTAGTTTAGTTGGTTGAGTGGTACAACTCTTGATTTCAGCTCAGGTCATGATCTCATGGTTAGTGAGTTCGAGACCTGCGTCAGGCTCTGTGTTGACAGTGTAGAGCCCGCTTGGGATTCTCTCACTGTCCCTCTATCTCTGCCTCTCTCCTGCTCTCAAAAATAAATAAGAAAAAAGAATTATCATGGGTTAATTAGAGCTAGCAACACTGAACTAAGTACAGGATTGATTAGTTTATGCCTAGGAAAAGCTGAAAGATACGACCACAAAGAAAGTGAACCAGACTTTCACCCTACTTTGAATACAGGCAAGTGATGAGAACACTTGTCATCTCCACTTAGCAAAGAGTATAATCGGCATGTTACACTCATGGACTCAGCTGGATTTTCTTTCATATGAGGGAAAAAGTGCCTTGATCCTATGTTGCACCATACACAAAAAAATCAATTGTAGATAGACTGTAGATCTAAATATGAAAGACAAAAAAACTGTCATGACCTTGGAGTAGGTAATAATTTTTTAAGTAGGTTATAGAAGTGATAACTATAAATAACAAAAATTTAAATTGGACTCTATTAAGATTCTGTTCATCAAAACATACTCCAGTGAAAAGACAACCTACACTATGCAAGAGTCTGTTCACAATACATATTATTTGACAAAGGACACATATATAGAAATAAGCAAAAAGCCAACAGAAAAATGGGCAAAAGACCTTGAACAGAAACTTCTATAACAGAGTATCCACGTGTCCAACGGATACATAAAAGGTGCTCACATAAGTCATCAGAGAAATACAAATTAACACCCACCAAATTGGTTAAAATGATGCCACTATCCAACCATCAGAATAGCTAAAAAAAAAAAAAAAATTTTCTTAAGGATAAAAAATACCAGGTGTCAGCAAGGGTGTAAAGTAAGAGGAACTTTCATAAGCTGCTGGTGGGAATACTAAATGGTTAAACCACCTTGCCAGACCTTTGACAACGTATCTTGTAAACTAAACATGCATACCCCACGACCTAGCAATTCCACTCTTAGTAGTATCTGCAACAGATAGAGTATCCATATTTTCAAGAAATGATGTGCACTAGCATGTTCATAGCACTATTCATAATTGCCCAAACTGCAAACTACCCAAATGCCCATCACCTGCAACATGGAAAGATCAATTGTGGTAAATTCCCACAATGTGGTAACATGGCAATGAGAAATAAGTGATCTGCAGCTACTCACAGTGATCTAAACCTCACGAACTTTGAATAAAAGAAGCTAGATGAAAGGATTCACATTACAGGATTCCATATCTATAAAAATATAAAAACAGTTAAAACTATTCAGTGTTATTACAGGTCCGGAGAGCGATTACAGGGGGTGGGAGAGGGGGTACTGGAAATGGACATTAGGGAAAGCTGCTGGGATGCTGATAATGAGTCTTCATCTGGACATTCTCTACATGGAAGTGTCAAGTTGGTGACAATTCATCAAGCTCTACACTCATCTGTATACTTCGCTGTGTGTTCGTACTCAGGGAGGAAGACTTTTCGGAGTGGTGCATACGTTCGTTATTTTCATTGCAAGGATGGATTCACAGACGTAAACATACATCAAACTCATCAAAGTGCACACTTTAAACATGGGCCCTTCACTGTACATCGTTTTTCAATAGAGCCATAAAAAGTTTTAGAAAAACTCTCCACAGCACCATTTATGTTGTGAGGAGAAATGTAATTGCAACAAACGTCACCCTTTAGAATTCTGCTAATTTCAATTTTATTGCTGTGGGTAAAGTTTTAACAAATCCCTTCTGTTTGGAATTTGACTTATGCTCAACGTTCTAGTTCTGAAACCCTAGAAATGTGATAAAGTTAGCTGTGTTACTTAGCATGGTAAAAAGGACTCTTGTAAAACTGCAACTAGATTTGAACTATAAATGAACCATAAACACCAGATGGGGACATCATATCTTGGGGCTTCCCTGAGTGCAGTGACTTGTAATTAGGCACGGCCCTTGAGGGGCATAGCTCGGAAACTATGTTTATGGAATTGTTCGAAGAAAGGAGTGGGGAAAGGAGGCCAGTGAGACTTTTTCTTTCTTTAAGTGAGATATAATTCACATATTGTAACATTCACCCTTTCAAGGTGGTTTTAGTATATTTATAAGCTTGTGCAACCATCACTAATTCCAGAACATTTTGGCACCCCAAAAAGAAACCCTGTTCCCCTTAGTAGTCATTCCCCATTGCCAAGGAGGCTCTGGTATCCAGCTAATATGGATGTCATTTCCTCCTGCCTGAGCTGGTGCTAATGGGGAGAGTAGAGAGGTTATTCTCTGTTCAGCACTGTAGGCCCGGGATTGGCATTACTGACATTTTGGGCTGGATAATTCCTTGTTGTGGGCAGCTGTCTTGTGCATTTTAAGATGTTTAGCAGCATTCTTGGCCTCTCCCACTAGAGGCCAGTAGCAACACCCTCCCCCCCTCCAACCACCTAGGCAGTGATAATCAAAAGTGTCTCCAGACATTGCCAAATGCCCCCCGGGGAAGGTGGGGCAGGGTAAGGGGACAAAATCACCCCAGCGGAGAACCAGTGGTGTAGACTGTTCCAAAAAACTCCCACAGGAAAGAAAAGCTTCATTCAAACCTGCTGGGAAGCAATGGTTGCTATCCTATATCCTTGAGTAGACTGGTACCAGGAGTGGTCTGTGACAGTCTCATGAATCTGAATATTAGTTGGATTTAAGAAAACTCCCAATAGGGGTGCCTGAATGGTTCAGTCAGTTGAGCGCCCAACTTTTGATTTCAGCTCAGGTCAATGACCCCAGGATCATGGGATCGAGCCCCATGTCAGGCTCTGCATTGAACATGGAGCCTGCTTGGAATTCTCTCTCTCCCTCGGCCCCTCTTTCTGCTCGCACTCTCTCTCTCAAAAAACAAACAAACAAAAAAGAAAAAACTCCAAATAGGCCCTGCAATTGGTATTATAAATTTATCTGCATTTAATCTGTACATTTGTGTTAGCCTAAGCAGTTCCATATATATTTGCAATTTTCAATATATTTATGTAAACAAAAAAATAAACGCTTGGATCCATAATTTTTTTTTTTTTTACCTTCAAAAGGGGGTTGGTCTGAGTGTTACTCAGGTTTAAACAACACTGAATTAGGCAAAGAATCCTGTTTTCAATATCAAACTAATCATCATGAGGCCATAAACCTAATGCCTAAAAGAACAGGTCCTCATAGATAAAAATGAAAAATTAAGACCCAAGCGTATTAATCTTATTAGTTGAAATCTGATGCAGTCTAAGATATCAGCTACGCCTATGACAAATGCCTACCAACGCACACTGTTTTTGTAGCTCAGAATTTTTTCCTTTGCCTTTTTTTTTAAAGGCACACACCCCCAATTTATGAATAGCTAGTGTCAACAGAGTAGTAGTAATAACTGCACAGATAACAGACTACTGAAGTAGAGTGGAAATGGCAGATTGGGAGCTAAAAGACCTACGACTGGGTCCTAGCACTGCACCTCTCTGGCTGAGGTATCACACACTCACCTATTTTGAGTCCTAGCTTTCTCAGCTACAAACGGGGGGCGGGGGGAGTAGCAACCAACCTCATTTGTTTACATTACGAGAGATAGTATACATGAAAGCACGTTTTAACCCGTGAAGTACTTTACAAAAATGACATTAGTGTTACAAACGCTTACCTCAGTCAATTTGCTTAAATCAGAATAATCCTTGGGCAGTTCTACTGCATTAACAATTGATGTCTTGATATTTTTATTAATCCTTTCCACTTCACTGAAAGCTGGAGGCTGAGAAGGCAACGCATTCCAGGACACATTTTCCAGATGTGGGGAAGCATTCAAAAGAAGCCCATAGATGATTTGACGGATGGGCAGAGATATTCTGTGGGCATTTGGTTGCTGCATATTTTCCACCTGTGTGTGAAGAATGGTCCGTCTTAGCACCAAAGCGTCGCTGATGAAAGGAGATAGCTGGCCTTTGGCCAATGCCACTAATATCCATTCTGGTAAATCCAGATTCAAGGCGGCAGGACAGGCATAAGTACCATACTGGAAGAAGTCCTGCAACTTCACCTGGGATTGCTGGTATTCTTCCATGGAACAGCAGAGAATTTCCTTCACATTTTCTCGATCCTTTTTTGGGAGATATTTCAGAACGTTATCTAGTGCTTCGGTAGGGTTGGCAAAATGAGATAACCAATTCAGAAGTCCCAAAACTCGGTGGTGTCTCCTCCCCTTTGAACTGGTAGCTCCAAGAGGCAGACAGACTTTACTTAAGAATGTGTCCATGATGGGTAGATTGATATGATCATTTCCACACAGCACCGCAAAGAGAGGTAAGAGAGCTTTATTCATATTGCTGAAGTGACGGCAGAGCGCGTCAATGGAAAAGCATTTGGCAGGGATATAGCAGTCTCCTGTGCCTTTGATAGTGCTCACATTTCTCCACTGAAAGCTATTCAGTGGGCAAAACCCAGTTTTTAGGTCAAAAATGCAAAAGTCACTATCTGACGATAACACAGGGCAATTCCAATGATTAGCCAGTGTCATAATGTCCCGATCTGCTTCTGAAAAGCACTGGACAAAACACACCTGTAGCTTGATTAAAACCTGTATGAACACTTCCCGGATGAGTAAGGGACACACATACCCACCCCCACCAACAGAAAGGGAATGAGCCATCTGGATCTTCTCTCTGGCTCGATCCTTTAAAGTTTTAAGCTTTTTATCTGAAATGTCACATCCTCCGTCTAACACAACATATGGACAGATATTACAAGCAAACAGTGATTCAAAGAATTTTTGTACAACATCTGCAAAAGAGTCATAGTCCCCTCCATATCGAAGTTCCAAGTTTGAGTTGAAGCAAAGCCGGTGGAAGAGAGCATAGCCGTCAATGACAATTTTTGTGTCCCGCACCTTCAAATCAGTGAAGAACTCATTACTATGATCTTCTACAAAACTCATTAGTCCTCGGATACCCATGATGACTGAAGAACTGCCTAATTAAAACAACGGAACACACTTTCAACTGGTGCTCTTTACTGGGGACCAAGTTATCATTCCCAGCACCACAAACCAACAGCAAATGTCACGAACAGCTCTTTAACCAATATATTAGGTATCAGCATCTCAATTCTTACCTAGATGCTCAGGCACCACTGGCTAGCTGAGTTCATTTTCATTCTCTTTTGTTTTCCCCGTATGTTACAAGGCACAAGTGCAATGGTTTCATGGACTTTAACCTATGGATAGAGACGGGGGGCTCTAAAAGAGAATCCATTAAAGTCCATTACTGACAGACTAATAGAGACTACCGTGGACTTTGATATTGAGATAGATAGCCGTTACCGTCTTCCAACAAAGAATATTTTTGTGGGGTCAAGATAAAAAGTCCTAAGCTATAAAAATGATACCCTCTTCGATCTCATAATTAATAAATCAGGGAGCACAAGACTTCAGTTAACTAAAGTGTGTAGGGTCAATGATACGGATCCAGTTTTTCTTTTCTGACAGTCAGGGTCTGGGAATTTCTTTTAGGCCTTGGCTTGTGGTCCCATCTTAATTGGCAATGTTTTGAGTAAGGACAATTACTGCTTCATGCCTGGAAGAACTTAAAACTCTCCAGTTTCACCTTAACCAGAGGCTCTTTTCATGTTCTCATCTTTGCATTTTCTGGCTCAGTACCAAGAATATCGTTCCCCATCTGGCTACCTGAAGTCATAGGGTGTGTATTACTAGTATTTCCTTTGGCCTCACGCTCCAATACGGCTCAGCATGGCATGGTTACCGATTCTGTCTTTATTTAAAATAATGAGATTTTGTCAGTCATGTATTTCTTTTGCATTATTTTTGACGTTTAAATACACTGCATTAAAATATATGTATCTGGATCACAGACTTCGGGGGCACCTCTTTGCATTCTGCGCCCAATTCAATTCACCCCAGTTTTGGCCCTTCCTTATCCAGTATAGTAGTCATTTATTTATAAGTGGGTCTTGTGAAATACATGCGAACAGAGGGAGGCCGTGTCAACTCATCCTAAACTAATTACAGGACCTTGCAATAGCTGTTGAACAAATGCTTGCTGGATGGGAGAAAGGCGCACAAAACGTTTGCTGTAAGTCGTCAAACACAGGCTTCCGTACATTACGCCACCCCAGCCCTTACAACCCGCTACCCGGACCAGCGGCAGAGCCCACCTGCACGGTCCTCCCAGAGGACCAGCCCCTCCACTAAAAGACTGCAGGAGCCAAGGGAGTCCTGGAAACGCCTGCACGTGAGAGTCCAACCTCAAGAGCGGGAACCGGAAGCCTCCGCGTATGACGTCACTGGGAAGCTCGGTTCCATGAAGCCAGTGGTGCCACACCGCGCCGGGGAAACAGGTGCTCCCGGGCCCCGAAACGTCAGGTCGCTAAGGAAGGCCGGGAAGTAATCTCCGAAATGGCCGCTGTCATGTTAGTGAAGCCGGGCGGGTCGGGCCTCTTCCCCTTTCCCCGCCCATTTGGGTCGATGCACACTTCCGCCTCGGGGACCGGCTCTGTGCCGCCTCGCCCCGGCTTCCCAGCATGCCTCACGCTGTCTCCCTGGCAACGGTCCCCAACAACCTTGCCGGGAGGCCCTGGAGCTCCGCGGTGCTGTCGCGCCTACGAGGGACCTGCCCAACGTACGTCCCAATCACGGTTGGGAATGTGGGCCTGCCCCGGCGCCGCCGCTCCTGCGCCCTCGACAGCGAAAGGTATGCGAAAGGCAAAGGGCGCTCCGCGGGGCGTGCCGGGCTCCCCAAAGCCGGGGAAGGTGATGGCGTCGGGCTGCCCCAGCCAAGATCCGCATCCCTGGGCCTCCACGCCCGCGACCTCTTCACTCCCCTCAGCTACTTTCCTCCCGGATCTGCTCCAGTCTCCGGAGAATAACGGTTGCCGGCGCCTCCTCGAAATATGTTAACCCGCTTTGCGAAAGTGTATTTTTTTTTTTTTTAAAGAAGTTGAGGCAAGGAATGTTAAACTTAAGGTTAAAGTTTACCTTTAAGGTTAGCGTTGTACTTTAGCAGAATCTGGTGTCAAATCTGCTTCCTCTCATTTCAGGGAGGAGAGCTATTTGACTTCAACCTATGATAAACACTCCTTCTCATGTCTTTTGTCTAAGGGTCAGTTGCACAAGGAGGTAATCTCACCTTTTCACGGTTCCCATCCAACTTTGTATATCTCTTTCCTCCTCACGCCACGCACACTTTTCCCCCTCTCCCTTGGGCCACAGTCGGTCGGCTGGACGCTTGTTTGCCCTGAAAAAATTTATTGAACACCTACTAGATGACAGGCGCCAAAGAGAGATAAAGAAGTGTGTCCCTGGCGCTCAAGTTCATTCACAACCTTCGTTGAGGTGGGCGCGAGGGAACGTTGACAAGAGAACAGATTGTTCTGGAATCTAGACTGCCCTCTACCTACTAGGGTAGCTCTGTGTTTGAAGAGAGGAGACTAATGGAGTCGACGGTCTAAAGGTGGCCGGGGGAAGGGGGCGGCAGGGCTGAGTCTGGGAGGTTGGGCCAAAGGAAACTCTGTGGCCCAGGCCAGACTGCTTAGACGTTGCTGGGTTTAAAAGCTCATTTACAAATAGGAGCCACTGGGAAATTGGACTTTCAGAACCATTCTGTCTCTCACTAAACAGGGACCTTCATCTCACCTCTAAAATAAGGAGAATTACTGGGTGATTTGAAGGGTCCTTTTCAGTTGAAAAAGCTGTTAAGTCCATACATTTATCTTAACAGCTTAATTTGGCCAGAAAGTATCACTTTATGGGAGCACAGAAAGCAAATAAAATACACATCTGGAGGCCTGCTCTCCAGTTGCTTTTTTCAGTAGTAGATTTCACTAATATTTTCTGTGATCTTGATAATCTGACATAATTTTTTATTTATTCAGGGATTTTGAGGTATAGGCACCAGCTCTGAAGTTCTAACCCAATGTTAAAGTTGTTTTAGTATTGTCATGAGACACAGCCGCAGGATAATTTGGTTTCTTTCTTTTCCTTTTTTTTTTTTTTTTTTTTAAGATTTTATTTCTAACTAATCTCCACGCCCAGTGTGGGGCTCAAACCCACAACCCTGAGATCAAGAGTGACATGCTGTACTGACTGAGCCAGCCAAGCACCTCTGTCTGTCTCTTTTTTTTTTTAAAGCTGGTTACTAGAATACTTCTGACTGGCATCAGGTAAAACTGAACTGATTAATGCATTATTTCAAGAAGAAAAATGCTGTAAATGGACACTTACCATTTACATTCTATTCTGAGGATTTTTGTAATTGCCACCACCATGTGAAGCCTGTTGGTCATATACCCCAAAACACAGATAACATCTTGTTTTATCATTACACACAAGCGGTTTTTGTCTTACAGCTTTGGAATAGTTGCATATAGAAACTTGACTCCAAGGCATAGACAGTCTTCAATTTAAAATCATATTTTCATAGATTTAAAACAAAACCCACTCTTCATCATTACTAAAGACATTTACATTTTGATGAAATAGAAATGACTTTACTGGGCACACACTCATATGGAATAGCCCTACTTTTCATAATCCTGCTGTGCATTTATAGTTTCTTGAGGAATTACAACACATTTATATTCAGTTATCGTTAAAATACAATTTTTGGTTTAAACTGGATTTGTGACACTTCTTGTTTCCAATCCAGAGAGATTACTCTCTACATAGTGTGTATAATAACTTCAGAAACTGGATCAGAAATTGTTTAGGAGGGGAAAGAATTTATTCTGAAGTCTTTCTTCCTCTTCACATGTATTCTAATAGATGCAAATACAATGGTTTAATGTCTACAGAAAGAAATTCTATGCTGATTTCTAGTCTAATCCTAACTCACTATTTTTTTTTTAATGTTTATTTATTTTTGACAGAGAAAGAGAGATAGAGCATGAGCAGGGGAAGGGGCAGAGAGAGAGGGAGACACAGAATCTGAAGCGAGCTCCCGGCACCGAGGTGTCAGCACAGAGCCAGACGTGGGGCTGAAACCCACGAACCGTGAGATCATGACCTGAGCCGAAGTCGGATGCTCAACCGACTGAGCCACCCAGGCGCCCCGAATCCTAACTCACTATTTGTTAATCAAAACAGACATAAGGTAGGAAGAAAGAATTACAAAAATACTGGGGCGCCGACTTCAGCTCAGGTCATGATCTTGCGGTTCATGAGTTCAAGCCCCGCGTCAGGCTCTGTGCTGACAGTTCAGAGCCTGGAGCCTGTTTCAGATTCTGTGTCTCCCTCTCTCTCTCTGACCCTCCCCTGTTCATGTTCTGTCTCTCTCTGTCTCAAAAATAAATAAACGTTAAAAAAATTTTTTTTCTCAAAAAAGCATTACAAAAAGATTAATGCAAATGTATAGATTTAAGGAAATTATAATGTTCTTAAATTTGGATTTTTTTTAAGTAAGTGGGGAGTATAAATCTTAAACAGATTAACTGTAACTCAGTTTTGCTATATTCATTCAGATGTATGAGGGAAGGCTCTCTTCCTGTGACTGTCTTCTAGTAGAATCTGCAATATCTCTACCTTTTAACATTTTTCTCTCAAGTCATTAAATGTGGTGTCATTGAATCCATTACTCAGGGTGCAAGCATCACGGTCAGAAACATACACATAGTTAGGAATCTGTCGACATTCTTTAGACCTGATCTCTGGACTTTTCATCTTTCAGGGATTGACTGACGCTACTTGGATTAATTTGACGATCTCCCAGGAGACTCGAAGTTAAATTTCTATAAACAAATGAACTAGTTCTCTCTCATTTGGAGCAATGCTGAAGTTCCAAGAGGCTGCTAAGTGTGTGAGTGGACCAATAGCCCTTTCTGCTTATCCAAAGACCTTGATTGCAAGAAGATATGTAGTTCAACAGAAACTTGGTAGTGGAAGTTTTGGAACTGTCTATCTGGTCTCAGACAAGAAAGCAAAACAAGGAGAGGAATTGTAAGTAAAAATACTTCATACGCATTTTGAGTTGGCTGCCTTGTATGCGTAGCTCTTAGCTGATTAAGAATATGGAGTACCGTTTGCTTTTTGCATTTAAGGTGGTCAGAATTGAATAAGCAACAGAAAAGCTTCTTGAATGATGCCTCCAGATAAGGTTTTTAAAGCCATTTCAGTAGGTGAGTGAAGTACCCGAATGACCTAGAGAAGGGAGATGGAGTAGATTAAGTGGAGATAAGATTTTTATGCATACCAGAGTCTCAATTACAACGTTGCTTCCACTTAACTTGATTGGGACTTCTTGAATGAGAAAGTAAGAATTGTTTATAATGAAGGCAGTTTTAGAAATGTTATGAAATGCAAATAAATGGTAATTCACACTTGAGGTGAATAGGGTGTACTAAAAGGAAATATGGTATTAATTTTCTTTGGCTTTCTTCTATGGGGGAGTTTTTCAGTCTGTAGTCATACAACTCTCAAATTAGGACATTTAAATCAAACAGGAGCTCCCATCTAAAATTAACTTATATTGAGGGCCCTCTGGTTACTTCCTTTTCTTTGATTTTGATGGGACTGGTAAACTGTCAAGGTAGAGAAAATGTCTGCTACAGATAAGGATCAATCTTCATTTTTAGCTTGAAGTTGTTTGAATTTGCTACAGTGAAAAGTTAGTTGGAATTGGAGTTAGGATAAAAAACTTGTACATCTTGTATGTCAGAAACAGGAAAAAAGAGAAGGCAGAAGTAAAAATGATCCAAGATGTCAGCCTTTAACTCTAGGCAAACAAATTTCCATCCCATAATCTATTCTTTTATTTGGAGGTTTTAAGTCAACTCAAAATTCTTTTAGCTTTAGCTCATTGGATTTAATATCAGTGTGATAAACATTTTCTACTTCGTAATATTACATAGGAATTAGAAAAGTAAATGTTGGTGCTGCTATTTTATTTTCAAACTCAACCTTTTAAATGGTCTCTGTGTCCAGAATTTTACAAAGTAATTATCAAGAATCCATAGTTTTCATTGAATTCCTCCATGAGGAATGACGACAGTGTCCTTAGAACAGGTTTAACGACTCCTATCAAAGACTTCTTTTCCATAAATCCTAGAGGTGCTCTTCCAGCCAGTAGAACAAGATGATAAATTTCTGAAAATTACCAGAGTACCTTTATGGAAACATTGAGAGTAAGACCTAAATCTGACCCAGGACTTGTGTACATCATACTGTAAATGAGGTGGGGCCACGGGCAAACAGTCAAGAAAGAATTCTTGAGATGTTTTTGGTGCAAAAAGGTGCTTTTATTATAGCACAGGGACAGGACCTGTGGGCAGAAAGAGCTGCACCTTTGTTGTATGAAGCTGGTGGTTACATGCCTACTGCTCAAGGGGGAGGGGATGTGCTGGGAGTAGTAGATCATAAAGGTTTTCTTCGAATTTCTGCTTGTAAAACTACTTTCACAAGATTTCTCTGGTGCTTATCATTCAGCTTGGTATTAACTATTCGTGAGATGTGCAGGCAGTCATGAGACCCTTTAAGAATGTAGCAACCAGTACGTCTTTGATCCTTATTGGAACTATGCAGGCTATAGATCAGTCTTCTGGGCTAAAAGGGCTAAAAGTGAACATTTTTCTTCTTCTGTCTCTCATCATAAAGATCATATCCAATTTTGGTTTCTTTAATGAGTAAGGAATATGAAGAATTTTAAGGAAATTCACAGAAGGGCTAAAAAGTTGATTAAAGGAATGTAAAATAAGGTATATGAAGACCAAACTTGAAAGCTTCAGACTTGAGATGATGGGTGTATATGCACCCATAGTATATGGGAGTGTAGTGTATATGCGCGTGTTGGAGGAAGGGTGCAGAAATGAGAGAGGAAGGGGCTGGTTGGTTGGGATGTGATTTGCCAATAACTTTTCCTGTACTTGCATTGGTCTAAAAATACCTGATTTGAACTGAAGATGGCAGATGAAGCCTCAGTCTGTGGAATGAATCCAACAGTGAGGATAATTGACAAATTATTTGACACCGAAAAGTCTGGTGTAGAATCTCTTGAAAAGGAATCATTCATCATCAGAATCTCTACAACTACATACAAGCTACATTCAGCCTTCAGATGTGTTTTGTTTGGCCTGCATAGTGGGGTTTTTGTTTTTAGTCTAAATTAGTTGCCAGTATTTAAAAATGTACATTCTCATAAAGATTGAGCTTTTCATCTTCTCTTGGAAAAAAAAAAAAAAGATTTGGTAACATTTGCTAACATTGATGCTATATAGCCAATATGGGCTGGAGCTGGGTAGCAGCTGCCCCCTTCAGACAGAACCTGTACTCTTCAATTAGCCGTGTCTTACCACTCTTCACTGTCTCTTATACCCACTGCCTGTCTCTGTAGACATCTGATTTTACACCTCTGCTAAAATCATGAAGAATCATGGCTGTGGCTGCTCACAAAATCCTAGAAGGCTAGAAGGAAGTCAGTAAGTGTCACAGTTAAGACCACAGGGTTTGGAGGTGAACAGGTCAAATGTAAAGCCAGTCGTTATGCAGGTTCCTCATCTGAGCTTCAGTTTTCTTATGTGTAAAATGGTTATTAAACCTCATAGGATTGAAATAGGGTTAAATAAAATATCTATGTGTGTATAAAACATCCAGATAAACATATATTATCTAATAAGGAATATATAATATAAAAACAAATATAAGATATATTTGTAAATATATGCATAAGATACAGAATATCACATTACCTTATATATAATTATCACTCAATAACAGTTGAGGTTCATCTTATTTATAAACAATCCAAGTTATAGGAATAATTAAAGGAAGCCTACCAAAACTTTATCTAGTCATGATCCAATAACTTTACTCTCTATTAACAGGAAGTTTTTCTTTTGTATTCCACTTTTAAGAGAGAAATCTCTCCAAGCAATCTGCTGTCAGGCATGTGATTTTAAAATCTTCTTCAAGAATCTTTCTTGAGATTGTAACAATTCTATTGTCATATTCTTTTGTATCTCTGTGACTGTCCAAAAGCAATTGATCCTCAGAATGTTGACTTTTTAGCTACATAAGATAGCAACTTATCAGTGATTATGTTTCATACATGTTACAGAGGCAGAAACTAAACTCATTTTTTTTTAAAGATTCTTTCCCCACAGTGTTGACAATTGATTCTTTAGTTAGTGAGAAAAGCACATTAATTAGCACTACCCATTGTCCAAGCAATTTGGTTACATAAAATTTTAGATTCTACTTTACGTACTGGGCTATAAACATAGGGAATTGGTTAATATTAGAGATGGGTAGGAAATAATACTTTCTGAAAAGATTTATATAATGTTGTGAATGCTTCTCCTTTAATAAATCAAAGTAGATCTGACTCCCTTCATTGTTTTGCAGACATACCCCTAACTGTTTGAGATTATAAGGAAAGTATATCATAACCTTTATATACCAGACTATCTCTTCTCTAGTTAAAAGAGTGACTTGGGTGTACTATGAGTCTGAGGTGGTCTACAGGACACTTATTACTAGCCCCTATGAAATCTAGGTTTACGTAATATGCACTTTTAGATTTAATTAAAGAATTTGACAAAAGGGAATAGCTATTCTAACTTTTCCATCAAAGTATTGCAATTTATCATTATGCCACTTGGGGGCATCACTCTACCACTGACATTTTTCATATTCTGTGAATTTGTGAATTTTAATTACAGTGTAAATACCACATTCCTTTACATTTTTATTGACTTTCTGCATTTGCTATGGGATAAAACAAAAAACAAAAAACTATAGCCATGACATTTGATTAGTGTGTGTTTGGAGAGAGTTTTCTCTTTGGCATAAAGATCGGGCATTCCTTTTTTGGTTATCACAGTAGTATGAAATTAAACTTTAAATGAGTATTGAATGACACAGAGGGGTTTTTTTATTCTGCATCATGAAATTTATAAACCAATATTTGGGAATATTTTCTTTCATGATTATAGAAACTCTGGTCTAATGAATGTGGGGATGTGATAATGTTAATTCATATTCCTAAATATTGTTCTAATTCAACTTTATAATTTTATATTTTTGTTAAGCTGTCAGACTTTATTTTTAATTAAAAACATTTTTTTTAATGTTTGTTTTTGAGAGAGAGAGAGAGAGAGACAGACAGAATGTGAGTGGGGTGGTGGGGGGAGCAGAGAGAGGGAGACACAAAATCTGAAGCAGGCTCCAGGCTCTGAGCTGTCAGCACAGAAGCCGACGTGGGGCTCAAACTCACACACGAACTGTGAGATCATGACCTGAGTCGAAGTCAGACGCTTAACCAACAAGCCACCCAGGCACCCCTGTCAGACCTTTTTCTTTAAAAGCAAATGCATAAGTGATGAGCTAAGAAGGTCTTTGGTTCTTAGCATAGTGCATGTAACTTAATAGAAAAGAGATGTTAAGGAAGTAATCTTACCTTACCCTAAGATACATGATTAAACTTGTACATGATTAGTTGCACATGATTAATCATGGCCACAGTTGTAATGAATTTAGAATTTTCATCTTAGCATTGAATGCTGGTTATAATACTGTTTTAAATTTCATCAGCTTAAAATACAGTGACATTATTATTTAGAGTTGATTTTGTGCTGTCGTCTTTTGTAAAAGTTTGTCGACTCATAAGTATTTAATTTATATATTAAACCTTTGCTTTGTACTGAACACCAGCAAGGAGACTGAAGCAATAGGAGATAAGGCTTGGCTCTCAGGAGCCTCCAGTCTGGAAGAGGGATAGAATTAACCCGTAGAAAACAACTAGTAAATGGTACAGGTTTTAAACACTTGTGTGGCAGGTTGCTCTCAGAGATGTTGGAATGGCCAGTGCCCAGATTCCTTCCTAGCTACCTACAGTCTTTATTTTGCTAGTTTCTGTGCATTATAGAGAGCTTTCATTTTTTCCCCTCTTGGTCCTGTGGTGTAAATATCCAAATATTTCTTTCTTTATCTGTGCACCTACACAT